TCTTTTCGTAAAAATACAAAAAGTATACTTATTTAAGTCATCCCAAATAACCCCTTAGTCATAGATTTCCAAACACGGGAAATGGTGAAATTGAAGTGTGCGGTGTATTTTAATTTATGTTTTTTAATAATATATATTTTATTTTATTTTGTTTTTTCTAGGCTTTCGGAAAACTAAAACAGTTAAACATTTCAAACCCACTACATTTTGATTTTTGTGCAAAACTATTTTTTTTTAATTTTCTTTTGAAAAACTCTATTAATACATAAAATTTATACAAAAACTCTATAAGAATAATGTAACATACCATTTTCGAAAATAAATTCATCTTTGTTATTGTTTTGTTTTAAGGTTAAATGGTGCACATTAAACTATATCATATATATTGAAAATTTTTTATATGAATTTTTTCTATTTATATATCATTCTTGCATTTTTTTCAAAATTTTCTAAAATGTAATTTTTTTCAATTATTAATATATATATTTTCAATTAATAAAAGAGTAATTAAAAATATATAACTACACTCTCCATAAGACGAAAACTCACAACTTCACCCAACAAAAGGTATTATATAACCTATTACGCCAAATGGCTTGGTTCACACAAGTCCAATGTTAAATGAATAAAACCAATTAATCATATTCATAATGAGTGATGATCCTTTACAAATTTTTTTTTAAAGGATCCAATTAAAACTTGTTAAACAGTCGTGTTTGATACAGGGCAGCCATAAGGTTGATATTACCAAAAAAAAAAAAAAAAAAAAAAAAAAAAAAAAAAAAAGACATGACATGACAAAACATGTTTAAAGATTTAATTAATGTTAATAATATTGTTAAAAACTACACAAGTCACATCTTATTTGTATTTTGAGTATTGTTAGAGATTTATACCATTTGATCCACAAATGCATCTACATGTGGTAAGACGTTAGACCCTCAATCATTAGATGCGTAACAAATCAAAAATTAATACCTATCAAATATATCATTATGAGTAAAATTGTGAGATTTTTTTTAAGTCTCAAGCATTTTATTTTATTTTTATTTTTAAATAATGGCATGAACAAGACTGCCAACCAAAATATTCTATAATCTTATTTTATTTTCGTTGAGTCATTTGAATACGTTGTGTTCAACGAGAGAGTAAATGCGCATGTTTTAAATATATGGCATGAACAAGACTGCCGACCAAAATATTTCTATAATCTTATTTTATTTTTTGTTAAGTCAACGAGATACATGTGCATGTGCATACATAACCAATAAAATCTACAAAATCATTATCACGTGTACATGTGTATTACCTAACCAGTAAAATCTATTGCTGTGAGTTGTACTCTCACTGCTGTTCGTCACTTGACCATTCTGTGTATATTTTGAAAAAAAAACCCCACTAATATGGTTACTTGTAATTCAGCCTATCCTAACTTTGAATCAATAGTTTTGACAAAATCAAATAATTAGAAAGTCAAGCCTCTGTGGTGACATATGAAATTGACCCACAAAGAAAAAAAAAAATTTATACAAAATTTTGTATTAAAATAATGTGACATTGCTTTGATGAATTTTTATTTTTAAAATGAGATAGATCCCAAGACTGTTTGCAAAACAGTTTTTGAAAACTGTCTGCAAAATAAAAAAATGAAAAACGAAAACAAAAATGACAAACGGGGTATTTTTCAAAAACTGAAAATGAAAAAACACAGCCATAGATACATATTACTTCAATTGAAAGAGTCTAAGACCAGTGTGTACTAGATTTGTTTGTGCTCAGCTCATATGACTTCAGCTGTTTTGATAATTGATTTTTTAATAATTTTTTTGACTTTTTGTAAAATGATAAATAAAATAAAAATTAATTTTGGTAATGATTTTTTTAATTTTTTTAACCGAATTTTCAACTTTCCAAAACAACCCTTCACAGCAAAGTAAGACCATTGTATAGTTTTCTTTGAAAACTTTTTCCCAAATGCATGCACTTTTTTCTCCCCCTCTCTTTTTTTTTTTTTATTTTTTATTTTTTTTATTACAAAAATCACGTTGAAATCGATTTTAATGAATTATACAATAAATTAATTAAAATCATATTTTTTAAAACATAAATTTACAAAAAACATTAGTTTGGAAAATAAATTCAAAAGAAATTCACAACTGCATACTATACTACAGAAACATGTGTAAATCAATTTCCTTCAAAATTAACCCAACACAGAGGACCTTTTACCAAGGCTGCTACTATTTAGTCCCGAGTAAAAATAAATGTGCGAACCGATTAAAGCCACGAAACATATCTTGAATTAGATTCAGAAATCTAGTTCTTTTTTGACATTGGACTAATATAGTTAAAAAAATTATTATAAATTATCATATCATTCTCTCTACTTTTTTATATATTTTTTTGTAAAAAACCAATTAAAATGATCACTTATCCATAAAAAGACCGATTTTAAATGATCAAGGTATGATATTCTTGTTGAGCTGCTCTTCACACGAAAGGAAATTGGCAAAACTTCTTTCCTCACTTAATTGTGTAAACCACTCGTGCAAGTTTTATGACTTTCAGCCTACCAAAAAATTTAGAAAAAAACAAAAAAAGTTTGGATACATACGTTTCAAAATGAATTGTGACATAGATTAACATATCATGTTGTATACTTTATTTCGGGTAGTTTTTCCTAGGTTTTTTCATTCGGTATATCGCATTGTTATTGTTAAATATAGAAATTACATATTTTGTCTATCATACATATTATATTTATACATTATCATATTTAGATTTCTTTTCCTCCTATATAAAGAAGTCTTATATACATTGTTACATCATTTAATATAATACAGATTTCTCTTTCTTCTCTCTCTTTTTAAATATTGTAATATTAGTATCAAAACTATAGGTTAAGCTCTTGGTGTTCTTCACCTTACCGACGGGCAGCAACCTTGCTTGGCCGCCTTCCGGACCTCAACCCATTCTGTTGCCATATTTTCCTTACGGTGATAAAACTCTCCACATCACCGCCTTACATTGCCGACTCTTTTTGGCCATTGTCTTCTTTTTCGCCAACTCCACTCTCGGCCACCATCTTCTCCTCTGTTAGCTATCAATTTGCATAGTTTTTTCCATTGTTGCCTCGGTTTTTAGCTCTCCCGGAGTATAAATTTTTATTTATCTTTTCTTCTTTTAGCTCTGTCTTTCCCACTACTTCAATTTCAATAGGTTTCTATTTTTAAACTTATTTGAGTTTGAGAGGAGGATATACCTATATTATAGTGTGCATGGTTATACACCATGCAAACACCCAAGCCGTCCTCTTGGTGCACTACCTAAGATTTCTTCCTTGGCGCACTACCTAAGCCACTCTTGGGGCATTTTTTGTTTTTTTCAATCTGCCTCTTGGTGCACATGGTTCTTTTCCAAGCTGCCCCTTGGCGCACTTGTTTATCTGTTGCCATCATCATTCAACACCACGTCGTAAGTTATGTTTGTGCCATATTTTGCTGGTTTAACACCCATCTTCTTCTACAATGGTTCAACATGACCATAAACTGTTTCCTTGCATTAGCTCTGTTAGCTTCAGCCCTGTTCCTATAACGGTGCCGAACCAACCATAAATTGTCTCCGAGATCTCCGATAGTGGCGGAGGGAGTGAAGCCCAAGAGGGTCACGTGGCCCCCTTGGATTTTGAGATTTTTTTTTAAAATTTTGCAAACATAAAAAAAAATATTTTAAATAAAAAAATATTATTAGAGTGAAATGTTAATGACATTTTAAAATTATGAGAACAATAATGGTTATTTTAATTGAAAATGAAGCGACTACTATGAATCATATTATTTATGAAATTTTTTGAATGTAACGATGATGTCATTATTATTGACATGCAAGTATAAGTAATCTCACTACAAGAATATGGAATTTATTGATTGTTAGTTACATTTGACATGTAAGATTCACTCTCTATGTGTTTATGTACTATTACTTGGTGATATCGCATATCAATGCATGACGTGGTATTACTATTATATTGAATTTTTAATCAAATTTTATATAAAAAAAAATTATCATTATATAATTTATTTTAAGTCTTATATCCATATTTTTTTTGTATTATCCATGATATACCAGTTACAAATAACATTATTTTATGATGTTTCTCGAAATTAATCGTAAAAACTTGTGTGAAATATTTTTGTAAAATTTTTTGATATTGTAATTACTAAAGGTGTGTTTGGTAACGTTTACGTTTTCAGTTTATATTTACAAAAATTTTATAAACTGGTTTTGTTTATTTTTTGTTTATTTTTAGAAAAACATAAACTACAAACGTGTTTGGTAATTGACAAAATGTTTAAAAAAATTTAAAAATATAAAAAAAAAGTGAGATATGGCAAGTAGTGGCAAGTGGTGGCAAGTGGCGGCGAAAGACGGTGGTGGAAAGTGGTGACGGTGGGTGGTGGGTAACTGGTGGTGGTGGTGGTGGCGGTGAGTGGTGGTGATGGGGTGGGTGGGTGACGGTGGCGGGTGGGGGTGGTAGCGAGTGGGTGGTGGTGGGTGGGTGGTGGGGGTGGTGGCAGGTGGGTGGCGGATGGCCGGTGGTGGTGGCAGGTAGGTGGCGGGTGGTGGTGGTGGGTAGGTGGGGGTGACAGTGGCGGGTAGTGGGTGGTAGCGAGTAGGTGGCGGATGGTGGGGGTGGTGGTGGTAGCGAGTGGGTGATGGTGGGTAGATGGATGATGGTGACGGGTGGTGGTGTAGCGAGTGGGTGGTTGTGGTGGTGGGTGGTAGCGAGTGGGTGGTTATGGGTTGGGGTGGTGGCGGGTGGTGGTGGTGGTGGTAGGTGTGGTGGCGGTGGTGGGTGGTGTTGCCGGATAGGTGGCGGGTGTGGTGGTGGTGGGTGGGTGGGTGGGTGACGTGTGGCGCGGTGGTAAGTGGTAGCGAGTGGGTGGTAGCGAGTGGGTGGTGCGTGGGTGGTGGTGGTGGTGGGGGCGGGTAGGGGTGGGTGATGGTGGTGGTGGTGGTGTTAGGTAATAGTGGCGAGTGAGTGGCAGGTGGCTGGGTGATGGGTGGCTGGTGGAAGCAGGTGGCGGATGATGGTGGCAGATAGGTGGTGGATGGTGGTGGCAGATAGGTGCGGGTGGTGGTGGCGGGCGGTGGATGTAGTGGCAGGTGGTGGGTGGATGGCAAGTGGGTGGTGGTAGCGAGGGGTGGGTGGTGTGGCGAGTGAGTGGTGGTGGGGGTGGGTGGTGGTGGCAGGTGGTGGTGGGTGGTGGTGGCGGAAGACGGTGGTGGAAAATGGTGGCAGGGGTGGTTAGTGTTGGGTGGTAAAAAAAAAAAAACTGAAAACTCAAAATGGAAACACATTTTTTGTGTTTCATTTTTTGGCTAAATTTATAAACTGAGACCACTGATTTATAAATCAAAAATTTTACCAAACAAGTTTTTATTTGAGTTTTTAAAATTTTCGTAAAATATAACAGAAAACTGAAAACGTAAGTGTTACCAAACAGCACCTAAGTACCTCTTTAATTTAACTTTCTGGCTTCGCCACTGGCTCCAGCCTCTGATCTATCTCAAGTGCCCATATGCTCCTATCTAGACTTTGCAGTCTATTTGTCTTGGATCTATCTGTTTTATTTTATTTATTTTAAGTTTTATTTCATGTTTAAGTTTCTTTTTCCAAATTCAAGTTGATATCTCTACTTGAGTTTGAGAGAATGTTAAATATAGTAAATAATATATATTCTGTCTATCATATATACCATATTATATTCATTACTATACTTAAGTTTCTCTCCTTTATATTAAAAAATTGTTATACATTGTTACAACATTTAATATAAGATTTTATTTTCTCTCTTACATATTGTAACAGTTATTATCTTATTATAGACCAAACTATTATTCCGAGAAAGACTCAAATCCAAGCCACCATTCCACCTACTCAAATCAAATTCTTTTACGTCTGCTGCCCAATAATTATAATAATTAGATAAAGACATTTACCAATCAAATCGATTGATTTTCCTAACATGTACCCACAAAAAAACATGTTTTACTTCTGTGGATCAACTTGATTATAAATTTAAACGCGGTCTTCTTGAAACATTAGTTTCTCCATTGGCATTCCAAGTCATCAACCTCTCAAGCTTCACTCATCATATTCTTGTTTTGAATTTTTCCAATTAAAATAAACCACAATGGAAAAAGCAACATCGCACTGTCAAATTCGTCCGCCCACTTATGGCAAACTCATTACGGTTCTTAGCATTGACGGAGGAGGAATTAGAGGCATAATCCCCGGAATTATTCTCGCAAACCTAGAATCACAACTTCAGGTAGTGTCAATATTTTCAAGGTCATACATAAATGAGTTTGTAATTTTTTGGTTGTTTTAATTTTGAAATTGACACTCTGTGATAATTTTGTAATTTGGTTGTTTAATTTTGAAATTTGTACTTTGTGATAATTAGGAACTAGATGGCATGGATGCAAGGCTTGCGGATTACTTTGATGTAATTGCGGGAACAAGTACTGGTGGTCTAATAACTGCCATGTTAACTGCACCAAACAATGATAAACGACCTTTATATGCTGCAAAAGATATAGTGCCCTTTTATCTTGAGAACTGTCCAAAAATTTTCCCCCAAACAAGGTAAGAAATAAATAACATGAAACTTAGATATGTAGAGGCTTGATGGTCCGGTGGATGAGACAATCTCTTACCATTTGTGCTTTCCCTATTCCCTTTCTACGGTTATACAAAAAAGGGCAAAAAAAGAAAGAGAAGATACTTGATGGGTTTATATTCAATATCATGATACCGACTGTATATTCATACATATAGATTTTGTACAACTTTAATAATTATTTCTAAGTTTCACCACTATTTGAGCAAACATGGATTTTTAGTATGAGTAAAGCATTTGTTTCTTTATTGGAAACAACTGGAAGTGTCATGCTTTTTGTAAATTAATCTGAAAAGTTACGTATCTTGAAAAGTATGCCAAAAATAATTAATTAAAAGGGAAAGTAACTTGAAAGTGGTTGTTAGGGAAATTAATTACAAAAATAATAAATATTAACAATAAAAATCATAATTTTTTTAGGATAAATTACACTTACACCCCTAAGACTTGGGCTTAATACACATCATTCTCTGATGTTGTCATTGTAATTATTTAGACGGAATAAAAACATTAAACTCATACACTCTCTCTTTTCTTACTTTGCTTTACTTTCTCATTTTTTTTTCCTTTCCTTTCTTTTACTGTTTTTTTTTTTCAATATAATTTTTTCTATTTTTTCTATTAGTAGTTGTTATATAAGCAGGGAATTGTGAAATAAAATTATTAACCACAAGGGTAAGAATGTAATTTTCAAAACATTAGGGGATGATATGTAATTGGACCAAATCTAAAGAGATGTTAGGTGTAATTTACTTTTTTTTAATTAATGTGTAATAATTTTTAAAAATTACCACTGATTGGTAATTGTCCCTAATTAAAAGGGGGTGCGGGTGCAACACTTTTTATTGAATTTTTTGCACAGAAAGAATTGCACCCCCATGTTTATGTAATTAATTTTGATATCTTACCTGCATAGCAATTTCCCCAAAAAGTATTCAAAAAATAAAAATTATGATATAAATTCAAATTTAGCGTAGCCAAGGCAATAAATAGAAAAAATTTAATTCACACATTTCATTTTCAAGGTATAAGAAGTCATGGGTGAACATTGTTTGAAATGGGATCCATGCTGTGACTCTAAGTGGGACCTGTTCTGTGTGCATTTTCATGATCTAAACCTTTTATGTTGAAAGATTTGTTGAGCAGATCAGTAAGGTAAAAAATCAATTTTATAATTCATTGATGGATATATAATTATAACACATTTGTTTTAAAATAAATAAATGGCAAATATGATTTTAAAATACATTATCAATTTATTTTAAGATAAATATATTCTAATCATGAATATGATTTAAAATTATTTTTTACATGAATAACAAGTTAAATGACTAAAACCATGAAAATGTTTATAGGACAACATGGACCCACTCATGGCAGGGACCTTGGTTTAGATGTACTGTCGGTTTGAGTTGAGTGAAACTAAAAAATGGCTTACATTTTGGGTGTGTTTGATTGGAGGAATAAGAAGGAAGTTATTTATTGTGCGAATTGTAATTTATTGGAAGTAGGGGTGTACACGGTCCGGATTGGTTCGGTTCTGAGAAAATTCAAGAACCGGACCGATCCTAACGGTTCTGTGATTTTGAGAACCAGACCAGACCGTTACACTTGTAAAACCGGACCAGAAACCAAACTGAAAAAACGGTTCGGTTTCAGTTTGGTTTACGGTTCCAAAAAATTTCTATTTACAAGAATAAATTGTTAATATTAGCAAAATAATTACTCAAACTAATTAAATTTAACTCATGATAAAAACTAATAATATTAAGGCATTACTTAATACTACATATCTATACTATCATAATATCATTAAAATTATAAAAAACCAATTAATAAAATAAAACTTGATATTATATATATATCTTTTAAAATTCGATTCGGTTCGGTTCGAACCACGGTTTTTTCATAAAATCCATTAACCGAACCGTTTTTCGGTTTCATATTTTCTTAATCCGAAACCGAACCAATTCTTAATAGAATCCGACAAACTGTTGATGATTCGGTCTGGTTCGGTCCGGATTATCCGGTTTGAACGGATTTTTGAAACAGCCCTAAATTGGAATACTAATTCAGTGTTTTTTTTTTTTAGTCTGTTAGACATGGAATCTGGTCAAATCATATCCCTCATATGAGGAACTATTGCATCCTAGGGAGAGGGTAAAATTATTTCATGGACTATTTACTGTTCGGATTAGGTGGTGAAATACTATTTGACCCTCTACTATTTAATATGTCTTATATTTAGTAAAATTCAATAAAATTAAATGTCTCAATTTAAAAATAAAATAATTTTATTCAACTTTTTATTGATGTTTTATTTATTTAATTTTTTGAAATAATTTTTATTGATGTTTTTATTTTAAAATTTTGTTTATATTTTATTTATTTCATTATTTAAATTTTATAGATGTTTTATTTAACTTCAAAATTTCATTATTATTATTTTTTAAAATAAATTTATTTAAAATTTTAATTAAAAAAATAACATATATTTTTATTGATATTTTATTTATTTTAAAAAAATAAATTTATTTAATTGTGTAAAAAATTAAATTTGTTTATATTTAATCTAGCTAAAAATAATTAAAATATTAAAAATATGTTTAATATTGCTATTATTTAGTAAACAATTGAAAAAGGGGTAAAAAAGTCTTTTGCTTATTTATCCTATCCAGTCCGTCCAACCAAACATTAGATTTACTAAAAATAGTCCTACATCTAATTCCATGAGAAAACAAACACGGTATACACATTCAAATCTGATGAATTTTAATCCCTCCTTATCCAGCCCGTCTAATCAAACACACCTTTTCTGTATAGTTCATCTTGTGTAGCTGAAACTAATATATATGTTTTTTTTTTTGTTTTTTTTCATTCCTGGATCTTGGAAAAACACAGAGGGCCTTTTGCTTGGATGGTGAATATATTTAAAGCCATGATAGGACCTAAGTATAATGGGAAGTATCTCCACAAACTGATAAAGGATATATTAGGAGACACAAGGTTGCACAACACCCTAACAAGTGTTGTCATTCCTACTTTTGACATCCAGAATCTCCAGCCTACTATCTTTAGCTCATATCAGGTCAGTTTCTATTTTTAAATGTTTTTGTTTTATGTCCCAATACTCTTGTAATGATTTGAATTATAAATTTTTACATGGTTCAACAATTAAAAATGTATTGAAATTAAAAAACAAAAATTCCTTAACCCATTTTGACAATTGAATTTGTCAATGACCAACCCTAACAATATTATTATTTCCTTATGCAGGTGACAAGCAAACCAATAATTGATGCCCTACTATCAGATATATGCATCAGCACCTCCGCAGCACCTACTTATTTTCCTGCCTATTATTTTAAAAATCAAGACGAACAAGGCAATGAGAAAGAATTTAACCTTATTGATGGTGGTGTAGTTGCCAATAACCCGGTATGACGTGCTTTATATCATGATTTTTGAATTTTGATAACCTATTACAATCTTATGAAAAAAATGGATGTGTTTCCATTCCATTAATGAAATTGAGACATTTTCTTTGGAGTGTAAATAATATTTAAAAAATAATAATAATAATTAAGGATGTTTAGGCTCTGTTTAGTTTTGGCTTTAAATAGATAGATCTGTTTTTACAATTAAAGCTAAAAAAAAAAATTGTTTGATTTTGAGGGAAAAAAAAAATATAACAAAACAAAAATTTTAACAAGATCCATCCTATTTCACAAGTGATAATTAAAAAAATATTTTTTCAAATATTTTTAGTCTTTATTATTATTATTATTATCATTATTTTTTCCTTTTCAGGTCTTTCTAGTTTAAAAAGATTTAAAAAGTAAGAATAATTCAAAAATGATTCACTAAAAACAAAAAATAAAAATTCCAACCTAAGCCAAACTTTTCAAACAAATTTTTTTTTTTTTTTGAAAACATTTGCCACATCAATTGTTTTAGCAACAACCTTGTTCTTTTAAAAAAATTAATTTCAAAAACATTTGTCAAACCATCCTTAGTGTGTGTGTTAATTTTCGACCACACTGCGAACTAAGTATTCAGCTGGAGAATACCGGCAAAATAAGTTAATTCCGAACAACCTGCAACATAAAGAAGAGATTCCGGTGGTAGTTCGTCCACCCGGGACACTCCGACGATCAAGTCAGTTATCTCTCAAAGATAACAAAAGTGCTTAGCTCACTATTCAGAACATAAAAAGCATACCTTAGACCTATGAGTGTGCCTCTATTTTATAGCCAACACAAACCTAGTCCCAATAGAAGCCTAACTTAAATAGACTTAGGATTACTGCTAATCTTGGACTTCCAGTAGGATTAGGATAAACTCTCTAAGAGTCTTATCTTTACCCAAACTGAAGTCTTCTCCCATTCTAGGACTCTTGTCCCTTATCCGCTTATGCCAAATTCCGATATTTTTGTAGATAACCTCGCCCTAGCCGAGATTATCTCGGCATCATGACCAAGACACGTAACACCTTGGCTGACATTTCGGTGTCACTTCGGCCACGTGTTGTCATTCAAAAATTATGTCCCCACACTTAGTATGAAAGTATCCAAAACTAATGGGAACCTGTTGGTTCTGCATGTATTGTGTCATAATATTTGCAGGCTTTGGTTGCCATTAGTGAAGTGACCAAACAAGTTTTCAAGCAAAACACAGATTTCTTTCCAATCAAGCCTATGGATTATGGCCGTTTTCTGGTAATCTCAATAGGGACAGGCTCGGCGAAGACAGACCACAAGTACAATGCTACAATGGCGGCTAAATGGGGGGTTCTGGGCTGGTTGTCACCGGCAGAATAGGTTAATCCCGAACAACCTGCAACATAAAGAAGAGATTCCGGTGGTAGTTCGTCCACCCGGGGCACTCCGACGATCAAGTCAGTTATCTCTCAAAGATAGCAAAAGTGCTTAACTCACTATTCAGAACATAAAAAGCATACTTTAGACCCATGAGTGTGCCTCTCTTTTATAGCCAACACAAACCTAGTCCCAATAGAAGCCTAACTTCAATGGACTTAGGATTACTGCTAATCTTGGACTTCCAGTAGGATTAGGATAAACTCTCTAAGAGTCTTATCAGTCTTATCTTTACCCAAACTGAAGTCTTCTCCCATTCTAGGACTCTTGTCCCTTATCCGCTTATCCCGAATTTCAATATTTTTGCAGATAACCTCGGCCTAGCCGAGATCTTCTCGGCATCATGACCAGAACACGTAACACCTCGGCTGACACTTTGGTGTCACTTCGGCCACGTGTTGTCATTCAAAAATTATGTTCCCACCCTTATGTTCCCACCCTTAGTATGAAAGTATCCAAAACTAATTGGAACCTGTTGGTTCTGCATGTATTGTGTCATAATATTTGCAGGCTTTGGTTGCCATTAGTGAAGTGACCAAACAAGTTTTCAAGCAAAACACAGATTTCTTTCCAATCAAGCCTATGGATTATGGCCGTTTTCTGGTAATCTCAATAGGGACAGGCTCGGAGAAGACAGACCACAAATACAATGCTAAAATGGCGGCTAAATGGGGGGTTCTGGGCTGGTTGTCTAACAATGGTTCTACTCCACTAGTTGATGTGTTCAACCAGGCAAGTGCAGATATGGTTGATGTCCACCTCTCTGTGGTCTTTCAAGCTCTTCATTCTGAAAATAACTACCTTCGTATCCAAGTAAGCTTCAAGCCATAAAATGTTTTGTCTACGCTTTTGCTTTTATGATAAAGAAAAATGTTACTCTGAATTTTTATGAACAATATTTATGAGCATATGCTTGAGTCAAGGTTTATGCTATAATACTTGTGTTGTGTTTAATTCATAAATTTAGATGGAGATTTGAAAATGAAAAATGAAAAAATAAGTGAATTATGAATGAATTCACACATTTTTTTCTTTTTATTTTTTGAATTCCTACTCAAATTCATAAATCAAGTCTTTATGGAATTAATGGTGAATCGTGGCATATTAGATGGTATTCAAATTTGGTAATCAAAATTATGTTTTTGTCAGTAACGGTTGAAGAAAGAAATAGTGGACTTGTTTGATTGTGTTTTCGTTTCCGTTTTCATATTTCATGTTTATGGAAACAAAAAAAAAAAAAAAAAAAAAAAAAAAAAGCCATTGTTTTAACAAGACCCACCTTTTCAGATAAGTGTTAAAAATGTCATATTTTTTAAATTAAAAAATTATTTTGTCAGATATTTTTAATCTAGAATGATCTGGAAAGTAAAATAATTTTTTTTTAAAAATCATTAAAACCAAAAATATTTCAAACCCATATGATTCTTTCCAATAACAAACTTTTTTAGCAATAATTTTTTTCTAAAAAATTAAAAAAGTAAAAAAAATATTAGACAAATAATTATCAAAACAGTACTAATCCTTAGTCATGACGACTTTATTTTCAAAAAAATATATAATTAACACACGTAAACTCTTGAAAAATTAATTTTTAAATCTTTGTTACGATTTGGTTGATAGGACGCAAAAATGACACCTTGGTTTGCTTATTAAAATTAGCGAAGAAAGAGAAAAACTTGTGAACAAGAGCTTCCTCTCGACCAAGAATGCCAAAAGAAATTAAACAAATAATCTAGCTTATTAGATAGAGACAAAAGACAAAATAAATTATTTTAGTCATAACAAACAAAACATCACATCCAACCCATAATCATTACACTCTTTTCTCACAAAAAAAGTCAAAAAAGTTAAAAAGTCCTTCACAAATCAAGTTAAGTAAAAAAGCCAAAAAGCTAACCCACTTCCCAAACAGAAGCAAATTGTGTTTGTCAGTGTCACCTCCAAGCTCAAATTCTTCCATTTTTATTTTTATTTTTTTATTTTTTTATCATCATGCACTTAAATATTGGTTAAAATTACCACCAAACCAAACTTTTGTGATGAACCAAGCCGCTCTAACTTAGTTGGTTAGCTCTTTGACTACCAAGTCTCTTTTAAAGGGAGGTCTTGAGTTCCATTTTTAGAAGTAAAATGTGAGGATAAGATTTTCTTGCAAGATGTATGCGTTTGAGTTTTAATTCCATTGAAGTGCTAATCTAACAACTAATAATTGATTTTCGTTAAAAAAAAAAAAAAAAACCAAACTCTTGTGATGTGATTGATTCTCAACTATCTCTTCAAAATTCCAAAAATACCATTTAATTTTTTTTTTTTGATTTCATGTAAACATAAATAAATATTCGAAGGGTAATAATACAGGTGTGTGTGATCGTTAAACTTTTCAAATTAAAACATTCTAGACTTCTAAAAAATAACAACCCACGGAGAGAGAATTTATGAAAGAATTTGCAAACTATAATTATTTATAAGAAAATTTTTCATACACACCCCTCTCTATGTATTTTTTTGTTAACATGCATGCCAATCTCTTTTAGCTGAAATTTCACACTAAAGTGTCCTGATAATGAGGCATAAAAATTAAATAATTAAGCCAGTCATCTTATATGCAGTTTGTCAAGATTACATGGCATGACTTGATATATTTGTGTTGTTGTATATGAATTTAGGATGATTCGTTAAGTGGGACGGTGTCATCCGTTGATGTATCTACAAAAGAAAACATGAAAAATCTCGTACAAGTTGGTGAAACTTTGTTAAAAAAACCAGTTTCACAAGTCAATATAGACACCGGTGACTCTGAACCACTCCAAAATGGTGGCACTAATGAGGAAGCCATTAAAAGGTATGTATATTTCCTTCTATACCATACTTATTACCAAGGACAGAACTATTTAGAGGGTCCATGGCGCTCCTGTCCAAAATAAACAATGCTACTATGATGATAGGCTATGTTGCCCAAATCTTTCTCGTTATTACAAATGGCCCTTCCTTGCCTAATTTATGAATATTGGAAACTTCATATTTCGTAATAAACAAGTTTCTATGTACAAAAGAATTGGAACACCAAAAAAAACATACCTCTAATTTTTTTAAATTATTTAGTACAATCATAATTTAACAGCAATAATACATTACTTATATTTCTTTTATCACATTTTGTTTATAACTTGATGAAGCATACACATAATGATGATAAAATATTAATGAGATTCATATGAGATCCATTGAAAACTTTTGAAAATTGAACCCACAAAAAACGCAGTGACTTTTAGTTTAATAAATAACTGAGTTGGCATGTACAAAAAAAATCAGTTAACTTATGATTTCTCTTTTATTTATTTGTTTAAGTTGAATATATATGACTTCACTTTTGATCGCGTTAAGACTAAATACAAAATATTTTTTATGTATTATTTTAGTATCATATCTTAGTTATTTCCCATTCTTGAATTGAAAGATAACAATACATAACTATTGATATAAAAAAGAAAAAAATTATTCATACCTTGGTTCCTCCGAAGTAAAATTCTGGTTCCTTACTTATCACAATACATATCATTTGTATTATTTGGATATCAATTTCAAAATAAAATATAAATGTTCCAATATCACCTTTCCAAAACAAAAGTCTATTGTTTGAACAAAAATTATGTTCAATAGTTGATATCCGAATAAAAATCTTGAAATTAAAACACTGGTGTGTTTGGTAACGTTTACGTTTTCAGTTTATAATTACAAAAATTTTATAAACTGATTTTTGTTTATTTTTTGTTTATTTTTAAAAAAACATAAGCTACAAACGCGTTTGGTAATTGACAAAATGGTTTAAAAATATAAAAAAGAGTGAGAAATGACAAGTGGTGGCAAGTGGCGGCAGAAGACAGTGATGGAAAGTGGTGACGGTAGGTGGTGGGTAGCTAGTGGTAGTAGGTGGTGGCGGGTGGATGTGGGTGGTGGTGGTGGTGGGTGGATGGTTGGGTGGATGACGGTGGCGGGTGGTGGGTGATAGCGAGTGGGTGGTGGTGGTGGTGGTGGTGGTGGTGGTAGGTGGTTGGTGGTGGCAGGTGGTGGGGACAGGTGGGTGGCAGGTAGGTGGCGGGTGGTGGTGGTGGGCGGTGGATGGTAGTGGGGGGGGGTGGCGGGGAGTGGTGGTGGTGGTGGTGGTGGTGGCGGCAAGGGGTGGGTGGGTTGTGGTGGCGAGTGGGTGGCAGGTGGGTGGTGGGTGGTGGTGGCGGGTGGTGGGTGGTGATGGCAAGTGGTGGGGGGTTGGGAACTGGTGGTGATGGGTGGCTGGTGGAAGCAGGTGGTGGATGGTGGTGGCAGATAGGTGGTGGATGGTGGTGGCAGATAGGTGGCGGGTGGTGGTGGCGGGCGGTGGATGGTAGTGGCAGGTCGTAATAAGAATGGGTGGTGGTAGTGGTAGCGAGGGGTGGGTGGTGGCTGGTGGAGGGTGGTGGCGGGTAGGGGGGGATGGGGGGGGGTGGTGGGTGGGTCGTGGGTAGTGACGGTGGGTGAGGGGGTGACAGTGGCGGGTGGTGGGTGATAGCGAGTGGGTAGTGATGGCAGGTGGTGGGTGGTGGTGACAAGTGTAGTGGTGGCAGATGGTGGTGGCGGGTGGGTGGTGGGTAGTGGTGGCGGAAGACGGTGGTGGAAAATGGTAGGGGTGGTGGCTAGTGTTGGGTGGTAAAAAAAAAAAAAAAACTGAAAATTCAAAATGGAAACACATTTTTTGTGTTTTCATTTTTTGGCCAAATTTATAAATTGAGACCACTGATTTATAAATCAAAAATTTTACCAAACAAGTTTTTATTTAAATTTTTGTAAATATAAATAGAAAACTGAAAACGTAAGCGTTACCAAACAGCTTTATATTTTATTCACAATTTGGTATTTGAACGGTATAAATATTGTGCACCAAAATTAGATGTGCAAATAAAATGACCTATATGCATTAGTCATTGTTTGAAAATTATTTTTTTAGTGCCATTGATTTTTTATTTTTTAAGTCTTGTTTGGCTAAGATTTTTTTAGCTAACAACTGTGAAAAAAAATTAACTTTTTAAACAAAATTCATCTCCTTTAGCTGAAAATAAACAAATTTTTTTGTTAGACTTAAATAGCCAAAAAAGAAAAGAAAATAATTTAATCAAAACCAAACATAGCATAAGCTAAGTAGCTAGTCATCTTTCTATACTTTTAATTTCATGCTGTTAATGAAATTTTTCTTTATTGATCCAAAAAAAAAAAAAAAATGCTGGGTTGTAAGTTTTCACACCCTGTGCAAAGTAAAACTGATAATTATTTTGATAATTACAGGTTCGCGAAGTTGCTTTCAGATGAGAAGAAATTCCGGGAGTCAAAATACATTGACATGAAAGAATCTAAGTAACTTAGAGAGTTTGTGGTTTTGGTTATTTATTTATTTACTTTTATTTTTTTGAGACAAGTAATTTGTGTATTTGTGTTTGTGTTGTGGTCTGTCTTTAGATTCAAAGTTGATGTTCGTTGAGAATAATAAGAACTCATTATGAGAATAGCCAATATCAAACTCATGTAAAAGGCCATTATATAAGACATTTGAAGGACAATGCTTATACAAAGTGAGATTTTTATTTTATTTTTTTGGAAGTGCCAAATCAAATTTGTCATCAGTTAAAAAAATCAAATATTATATTAATTTTTTAGGGTAAATTATAAATACATCTCCTGAGATTTGTTTAAAGTACAAATTACCCCTTGTGGTTTAGAAAATTATAAATATCTCACTGTTAGCATTTTTTATTTAACAGAATTAACTAAAAAAATAAAATTCATAATTGCTCTCCTATACAATAATAAAATTGCCTAAATTATTCATTGAAACATATTTATAATATCATTAAAAACTATTAATTGACTTGATGATTTATTAATAAAAGGGCGATTTGTTATCAAATTAGAAATCTCAGGGGATGGAATATAATTTTCAAAACCACAGGGGCGATTCGTACTTTAATCAAATCTCAAGGGGTGTATTTGTAATTTATCTAATTTTTTACTTAAAATTAATAACTTTTTAAACAATTTCTTATATACATTAGTTTTTTTAACTACTAACAAAATATAATAAAAAAAAAAAATCATGCCCAAAAAAAAAAAAGAAAAAGAAAAAGCTAACCCGAAACCAACCCTATATATAGGCTTCGTTTGGGAAGTTCCTATTTTAGTAGGCTATTTTAGTCTTTGACTATTCTAGTAGACTAAAATTTTTGTGTTTGGAAAGATGATTATATTTTTTTATGGTTGGATGTGATGTTTGTGAGATAAAAAGTGAAATGATTATGGGTTTGATGTGATATTTTGTCTTATTAACTATTTTAGCTTATTTTGTCTTTTTGTAAATTTTAATCTAAATTAAGTTATTTTTTTTCTTCCCAAACACTCTCATAGTGTGTATATATATATACATAAATTAGTAACATTTAGGAAAATTTTGGAGGGACCCCTAGTGCCCTCCCTCCGCCCCTGGAAATGGTAATGTGGCACTGGCAGTGACAAGATTGCTTGGGAATATGTACAAGTACATGCGTTGTTGCTGCCTTTGGGAGAGAACACATTGATTTGGAAACGTGTAAATGGTGTTTTTCAACTTATTTGTGACTCATACAAAGTGGGATTTCAAAAAAATTTGAGAGTGCATAATCGGCTTTCGGGATCATTACATGAGATATAAAAAAGAAAATTGAGATTAGATACATGGGTAATGCTAACAAGTGTCTCTTGAGCACTAATAAAATGCATTTAATGTTGTTTTAATTCGTCTTGATAATTTTTATTTTAACCACTCATTAAATTGAATGTATTTATTATTACATGTTTCACTGACTTGAATTTTAATATAACTACTTTGTAATTAATAATACTTTACATTATCATGCATAATAATAATAATAATAATAATTATTTAATATTTAAAAACTCTAAAACTCATTAAATATAATAAAATATTATTAATTATTTCATAACAACAATTGTTAGCATGACCCCTTCCTTCAAACCTGGAAATGGTTAATGTACGGGAAACAAATATTCCGCAGAGCCTGTACTTCTTTCCACCAAACTCCTTATCCGTTTGATCGACCTACGAACACAACGGCGGTGAGCTACCCGGCGGTGTGTGGCCGAAAAATCTCTCCGACGGTCAAGTTAGCACACACTCAGATCTAGAGAGAGAGTTGAGTGTTTAGGTTGTTCTCACCAAATTATGTTCCATCCCAACATGGGGGGCGCAGACTCGCTTATATACTTTCTGCGCCCAGGTCTGCTCCCATTAGTCTCTTGACACGTGGTGCTACTCTCCTATCTATCAGCACAAATCCTGCAGTCACCACCTAACCAAACCGTCAGGCTATGCTAGCGGAGCCCGGCAGACCGGCAGAACCACCTCGACCTTTCACGACCGCTGTGCAGCGTACCCGAGTGCTCCATTCGCCGAACTTCATACAGCCGAGCTCGGTAGCATTCCGGCATAACCGAGCTAATCGTGCTCCCACAAAACCTGGGTAGCTGAAGCCTGTCTCGGCAAAGGTGGACCTCGGGGATGGGCCTCGATCGAGCAAGTTCCAATCTGGGGAAGCTCGGTCCAAAACATGAGACCGTCCTCAGGCCCTGGCCACGACCGAGCGAGATCAGCCCCAGGTAAGCCCAAGTTAGCTAGGCCCAAATTTACTCGACCCCATCCTATCCGGCTTCTTCCACGGCCTAAAGCCAGACTATAAATCTCCCTCTCAATTGCCCCTTAATTCTGTCCGCAAAAGCGTGACTGGGATTACATGATCCGACCGGGGTAGATTCTTCCTTGGTCCATAACTTGCAAAGCCTCAACCGTGCTAAATCCTGATCTCGATTTATCAGTTTGCTCAGCTTCCGCCTCGACTCACCTTCCTGTCTCTTCAATTCTGACGCCGCCGTCGATTGGGACACGCGTCAATCATTTACTGGCCCTCGAGCAGCCAACCCAATTGTCCCTTCATATTCAAATTTGGGCGGCCTTTTCACTCCTATAAACATGCCAACCCTGCCTTCACTTTGTTCTTACTAACTCTCCTTCATTCCAGGCGTCTTTGAGCTACAGTGCTTGACCTCTATTCTTGTTCTTTTTCTTCGTTCGTGCTTGAAGGGGTAGCCTCTGCCTCCAACCTGGTAAGTTCTTCAAATCCTCTTTGTTGCTCTCTTTTTTATTTGGTATTTCACATTCTAGGGCATAAAGTCCATAGGTTTTAGGATATCCCCCCCCCAAAGACCCTCTCCAGCCCCTGTTCTTTTCGCTGTTCTTCAATTCCAGTGATGAACACAAGAAGATCTGGAACGGACCGGGCTCCAAGTCTTCTTTTGATCCCAAAAAACATCAAAATCGCGCAAATTGCAAGTTTGCAAAAACCCCTGTAGAAACCGAGGTAGGCAGAGGACTTGACCGCTCGACCGGGCTAACATCTGGTCCGCTTGAGCGGCCGAGCTCCTATGTTTACCTTCGTGACCGGGGTGGTCTGGCACTCTACCTAACCGAGCTAAAGTTAAGCTCGTTTTGCGCGACCGTGTTCCCACTTACACTTACCCTCCTTTTCCTGCAGAGTCCAAGGGGACCACACACCAATATCAAGGCTCTCAAAGACCGAGCAGCCACCAAACCAGAGTTTGTGCCAAACCACCTCAGCCGCGCTAAAGCCAGCCGGCCACACATGGGGCGCTACCGTTTCTTGGTCGACACGCCAGTCGCTTTAGCCGCGTTCCGGGAAGAATATGTTTTCCCGGACGATGTTCACCTAGAGCTCGGTGCCGAGGACACGACCCTGTGGGGCAGATTAGACCAGTGCCCCTTCACCGTGCTTTCCATCATAGAAGGTGGCTTCCGCTTCCTGGTTAACTCGTTGATCTGCGAATTCTTGCGGCGCACCGGGCTAGCTCCAACCCAGGTCTCAACCAACACCTATCGCATAATTAACGGAATCCACGAGCTGAACAATCGGCTAGGAACCAACTTAGGAATGGCCAAGATACTTCGCCAGTATACCCTCGGGCATACAGGCGATGGTCTTGCCTATTACTTAAAGATAAGACCGGGCAAGGAGAAAATAGTGACCGGTACCCCAGACAAGGACTTACATGACGACGACTTTTTCTGGATATCTGGTAATTATGAAATAGCCGACGTGCCGGGCTGGTTTATCAGCAAGAATTTCGACGAAAGATGTAAGCCATGCTAACTGCTCAGTTAGATTACTTTCCTTAACCATTTTGTACTAATGTGCTTTGTTCCTTTCCTCTTTGTAGCGATCGAAGCTTTGCAAGCCAACTACCGTTATCCCAACGAAGCATCCATCAGAACCGTGCTTCGCTATTGCAACCGGGATTGCCACGAACTCCTCGGTTACGTGCCAACTTACAGGTACTCAGCTCCACACCGGAGTAAGGTTACAGACTTCCTCTGTGCACCATCTCCCCCCCCCGATCCCACATTGCCAGACGTGCCACTTATCCGGTTGACCGAGGTAGAAGAGATGGCCAAAAGAAGTCGCATCAAAAACCTCATCATTGCTACCTCCACCGAGCTATCGATCATCCCCCCCCGCACTGCCGCTGTCGGTCAATCGAGCGGGACCGTGGTTGCACTGGCATCTCCTGCCGCCGGGTAGGCAAGCAAAGAAAACCGCTGAGCTGGGAAAAGGCCATGTACTGACCCTTCTTCTGAGCTAGTTGCGAAGTTGAACACCGAGCAACCAGTGGTGACAACTGACCCAACACCGCCATGGAAGCCACAGCTCAAGCACTGGGGTAACGAGATCCCGGCGACTGCCTCGGTCAAAGGTGACAAGGAGCATCTACTCGCCTTTGACCTAACCAAAGCCTTGCTATTACCGAGCGACGTGGTAGGCAGTGACTACGTACCGGACACCCGGCTAGTGAAGTCCTCGGTCAAGTCCATGACCCGGGTAAGGACTCTGCGTACTTTGGTCAAATTTTTCCAAGTGTTTGCTCGGTTTTCTTCCTCTGATAAAGTTTTCTTCTTGCAGGCCATCCAAAAACAACACTTGGTGCTGGAGAGGATCCACCGACTCCAGCAGAAGGCAACCAACACTGCCAGCCAGGTTGAACACCTTCAAGCCAAGCTCGGACGATCCAAGGCTTCGCTGGAAATAGCGAATTCTGACAACTCCAAGTTGCTCGGCCAGCTTGGTGTCGCCGAGCAAGAAAGGGACGCCATCCGGACCGAGCTGGAGGCGTTGAAGCAGTTAAGGAAGGAGGAGCTGGAGGACGCCAACAATGCCGGTTTCAAGGAGGCCGAGGAGAACTACACAAAGCAAGTCCATGCCACCCAAGACATCTTCTTCAAGGCAGGCTGGAAGGCTACTTGTGAACAACTCGGTCAAGGATCTGGGACCGACGTGTTTGCCTCTCTCCCAACTGCCTTCCTGCCGACGTACATTGTGCCATATGCCAACGACATCTTCAGCGCTTTGCAGGCTAAGGCCGAGGAAGAAGAAGCGGAAGATGCTGAGGAAAATGCCGAGGGTGACAATAGCCTAAAGCAGGCTGGCCAAAAGCAGACCGGTGTCCAAGAGACCATAACCACGGTCGACT